TGTATTCAAATGTTTACCCTTTTTTCCCGTTGTTACAACTTCCATTACATCTGTTATTGTTATTATTGTTATTATGAATGTCCCGTATTTAGTATGTGATTTGAGTACCCGGAATTGCAATTATTATTTCTAATATCATGTAGATGTTCTTTATATCTAGCGTTAAATGTTCGGCCCGTTTGTCCAATGTATTTCAATGGGCAATCTACACATTTCATTTGGTATATGCCACTTTTATTGTATTTATCTAATTGTGGTTTTTGTTTGAGTATGTTTTCTATTGTGTTACGTGTAACAGGATGCTGAAATATAATATTGCAAAATTATAGTTTTGTATGTTCTAATTTTCATGTTTTTAGACAGCAGACAACACGACTAAAGGTTCTGGACTGAATGGTAGACTGGACACTGGCATGTTAATTAATTTATTTTAATTAAAGTCAATTTAGTTTGGTCAGGAAATGTCTTTTTCACGCACGATAGAAATTGTGACATTACAGTGCAACAATTTTAGCAAGATAGAAGACACCTGATGGCCTTATACGGCAGAAACATATAGTGTGGGAGAAGAGTGACTATGTAATAAGTTTGTCGGGCCCGTGTGGCCAGATGACGAAGGTGTCGTCCACGTAGCGAAAGCAGCAGCGGGGCTTGTGTGGGGCAAAGTCAAGTGCCCTCTCCTCGAAGTCCTCCATATATACGTTAGAGATGACCAGAGAAGTGGCAAGCCCATCGCCACACCATTGGTTTGTTTATAGAACTGGCCATTGAAGTTGAAGTATGAGGTGGTCAGGACAAGAGTCTCAAGATGTCTTCTTCAAAATGTCGTCTTAGCAGATCCATCATATCCTTTATAGGTACCCTGGTGAAGAGTGACACTATGTCGAAACTGACCATTATGTTGTGGGGATCAACATGGAGAGAGCCCAATGTGTGGACAAATTCCATGGAGTTACTTATGTGGAGTGGACCGTTGCCAGTGTATGTGTTCAGTAGGCCAGGCGATAGGTAGGAGAGCCAATGGTGCTCACAATGGGCCTTAGTGGATTTTCGGCAATCCGTAGAGTCTAGGTGGTCTGGAACTTTGAGGTCGTAGCTGTTGGCAGACCTCCTCAGCAATCAGGGACTTTTTTCAGGAGAACAGTCTTGCGCTCTGTGATATCAGTAGGATCCTTCTTCAACTTCTTGTAGGCCTTATCCTCCAAGAGAGTGGCTATCTTTCGGTTGTAGTCAGATGTATCCAGTACCGTGGCCGCATTACCCTTGTCAGCTGGAAGGACGGTGAACGCCTCATTGGCTTTTAAGGACTGAAGGTCTCTTCTCTCGGCACCAGTCAGATTGTCCTTGGGTTTGCGGGAGTTCTTCAGAATCCTAACCTTCTCCTGTCGGATCTCCTCTGCAGTCTCTGCAGGCAGGGCCCCTATTGCCTTCTCCACCCCGCACAGGTGGAGAGGTGTATACAGTATCCCATGCAAGTGCGGCAAGGTCTATATCTATATTGGACAGACGGGCCACTCTGTGGACATGAGGTTGAAGGAGCATCAGCGGCACATCTGTCTCGAACATCCGGACAAGTCAGCTGTAGCTGAACACAGCATCAATTTGGAACATCGCATTCAGCTTCAGAATACCTCCATCCTCGCCACCAAGACCCAGTATATGGATAGCATTATTAGGGAAGCCATTGAGATTGAACTCCATCCCAAAAATATGAACAGAGAAAGGGGGGGNTTATTTTTCCTTCTTCCCTGAAGATGGAAGCGATACGTTCCCGCGAAACGTCGGTTAACACATCTACTCGGTGCCACATCCCAGAAGACTGCTTTTTTAAGTGGGTATGTTTGTCAGATGTATTGCACGATTATATTTTTTAATTTAGTGCACTTACCTTCTACAAAGGAAGATAATATTGATCCTGTCACAATAAAGTGGTAGTTGAGGCCAGTTGAAATGGCGTGCAAAAGGAGGACGTCGACCAGGAGGAAGGAAAATATTGGGATGTTGTTTTAATTGTGGTCAATTTATTTTAACCAGGACATTTCGCGTTCACACGTGATACAAATTTTAGCCAAGAAAGAAGACACGTGATGGTAGCCGTACATAGCCAAACCATGTAATGTGGAAGAAGGGTGACTACATAATTTGTATTTAAGATGGAAATATATGTGAAATAAACGACATATTAATGCAACAGGATGCTTGCATACAATATTAGGAAAGGAAAACATTGGGTGCATCCATTTTTCTGTGAAAATTTAAAGTGCGGCACTTATATTGTTTTGAAAGAAAACCAGGATCCAGACCCTTTTGTCTCATGAGAAATTCTTTCCCAAGCCAAATCTATTTTGTCCCGCCTAGCATATTCTGGGTGGCGTTTGTCATATATACCAGGCTCTTGCTCAATTAACTGCATAAAAATTAGTAGCTTTGTCTAATTTTTGTGCCATTTCAAAAAGCAAATGAATCACTGAGGCACGTTATTGAACAGCTGATACTAGGAAATCACGCAGCAAAGTAATTGTGAGAAGACTGGCATTCTCCGTTGTCTGGAAGTTTGGTTTCCCAGTCTTCCGGCTGGTAACAATTCTCGGAAATTGCAGATGCCAGTTTCCCTTGTGTGCCCTCGCCCTAACTGCGTTGCTCCATTCGGTAACGTGTTCAGCTCAGGTTGACAACAGTTCTCAGAAATAGCGGTTGCCAGTTTTCTTGGTGTGCCCTCACCATTAGAGAGGTGATGTGGTTGAATGAAAGATGGATGGGACACTGGAGTTGTCCTACATCATGACTAGATAAAATGACTTAATTATATTCAATAGAATATGCATTGAGGTACTGTAGTATTCTTTTTATAATGTAGTTATATGTCTTTTGATTACTCAGATCTCAAATAACATTTTGGTTCACCACTCAGTTTTAAGTACCAATGAAACCAGCTGAAAACTCTCTTTCATAAAGCTAAATATTTAACATGCTTAATGTTGTTTTATACACATAATTTACAGTACAGCTATTGCACATACATTACACAATATCTTTTACAAAGCCTGGGTAAAATACATGAAAAAATATACACATGGCACAAGAGGCAGTTCATCACATTCCCAGTAAACATATCTGAAGTACACCATCCACCAAAGTCCATATACCAGTGCCATATGAACAAGGCTGAATGCAGGATTTGAGGAACCCACATACCATGGTTGTTTCAACATGAGGGATGAAGGAACACTTGGCACTACATCAAAATCAAAATTCCATTCGCTTGGTTTATGATTTAAATAATCCTTACAGCATGTGTCTTTTCATGGCCATAAGACAAACATTTCTGAAGTCACTTCTTCTGAAACATTACTGATAATTATAGTCATAAAATACAGACATTTTTATCAGCTGTATTTTCACTTACGATGGCCATTTGCAGGGATCAATCGATTACTGCATTTCTGAGGTCCAAGACGAAGAACTTCAGCATAAGACTTCTCTAGACGTTTCAGCTTGGCAACTTCCTGTGATGCAGAGCTGATGAATGGCTGAAAATCCCATGTGCTCTGCTGCTGATGTCCTAACCTCTGATAAGATGACTGTTGGAAGTATGAGGGCTTCTGTTGGCTACAAGATGAATTCTGAAGCTCTCCCTTTTTCCAGGCCTCATATGGCATTCGTGACTCCCCTCCTATAGGTAACTGGCTGTATCCACCCCTTCCTTTATCAGGATTCTTTAGCTCTCTCCTCCTCTTACCACTATTGGAAAGTCTGTTGGCATATGTCATTCCAGTACAACTGCTTGTAGGTGGAGTGGATTCTATTTGTTCCACTCTTTCTGCGACAGTTGGTTTCAAAGTTTTCATAGGAGAATTCTTCCTTCCATGTGATTTCTTTCTGACACCTACACCAACAGACAAATATTCCAGAATATCTTGTTTGGGCACTGCTTTAGGCCTGGGCAAGTCAATTTCTTTGGCTAAAGACTCATTTGAAACTTGTGCCTTGCATTCAGCAATTGTATGAGTCGCTGTAGAATCCAACTGCTGATTGAAAGACACTATTTCGTTGTTTGTTACACTACTTGTAGTGTGTTCAGCATTTGTGGATTTGTTTGGAAGCTCAGGATTTGATAAATTCATATTGTTGACACTGTTACATTCATAAAAATCATCTGGAAGCTCTTCCTTTGCAGGAGTTGCTGGTGGAACTTTAGGGGCCTCTGCTACAGGCGTGAGATCTTCTAACAGTGGAAGTTGTTCGCCCTCATCTTTCGCTTCCGCTGCTCTCTTGAGAACTGCAAATATCTCTCTGAAAAGTTGGCGATACTCAGGTGTCTTTCGGAAACGACTTTCAATAGGACTGGCATCATCATATATACTGAAACGGCAATCATCTCCATCAGCAATTGAACACAGAAATGAACCTGGTGGTAAGTGCCCATCTGTTTGTGTTGCCTTGTTGCTAGTCTCATCTGAAAAACCAGATGATGATGTTTCTGCTTCTGAGAAGTCTGTTGGAGTCATAGAAAATGCCTTTTCAGCCTTTTTCTCCATGTTAGTCTCTTTCTTACAACTCTTACCAGGAACAGCTGATTCAGTGCATTCATTATCACTCTCTCCATCTGCCTCTACTTTTCCATTGAAGCTGGAGAAGTCTCCTGACAACTGTAGTTCTTCCTGCAACGACAGACAATTGGTGCTAGGAACAACCTGATGCTGCCTAACTGAGGCTGGATGGCGCTGCATCTCAAGCAGTGCTTCGTACTTCTCAACTAGAACACGATATGGATTGTCATGTGTCTGCTCCACCTCTGCAGAGGAATCCTGTAAATAAGAAATTAATTATAAGAGTTTCAAAAAGAAAACATGTCTCTCAAAATAAATCAGAGTGTCATGTGCTACAACAGATATGAAAGTGATTGACATAACATAGCAGGAGGATGTGTTACTTGTAATCTATTACAAATCCTATCTGTATACAAGGAATTATGAAAAGGTTTCTATATGCAACTATTGACATATGAAATGAACTTGAGGTTGATTATAGTACATGCATGCACAGACACAATTATTTTAATTACATAGGTACAAGAAGAGATGAACAGAGACAGTTGACTGAATGTAGCATGTAACTATAAACATACAAAGTGAAGAGTTAGAGGCAAACCAAGGAGGTGCTGCAAAGGGGATTTTGAGCCAGTACAGACATTAAATTGCTGTGAAGACAAGATCTAACAGTACAGTTTGAAAAATTAGCATGTGGAAAGAAATAAAATCAAATCACAATATCTAGATACTCTGATAGAAAACCGTAATTCTTTTTGGCCTGCTGTATATGTAATGAAACAATGACAAAATATGGCCCCCTTAACAACAGATTGTCACTACACTTTAGAAATTTTAAGTGCTTGCAATGTTTCTTACACGAATAGCCAGGCGAAGAAGATCGAAAGAAGAAATGTTTGCTTTTTTATGTCATTTCAAAATTAAAAATACCATTGCTCCCTAAAAGTGAGCCTGTTCCTAACTTCTTAAGTTTGAAATGTTTAATGAAACACTATGATATAGTCAGTGTTCCTTTGGGCAGTAGGCATGCCAGTATGCAAGTGATGCTTACTGCCACACTTAACAAAACTCAGATATCTGCCAGTGCATTGCATATTTCAATTCTGAAGCTAGAACTGAGCATGAAAGTAGAGCAGATATGGTTTTAGAAGGAAAGTGCTTAATATAGCAATATGTTCCTGATGATTTCATAAACAAGAACTGCATGCTGCTCTGCATTACATATTTCTGATGCACGAATTCAGGACATGATGCACAAACTGAAACAAATGGTGAAATAAATTTATATCTGCAATAGATGAATTAGATTAGGCAAGAACAAAAATTCACAAATAATGTATCTGGAAAATGTGTGTATTCTATATGTACAATCTAGTACATCCTTCTGCCCTTGTTCCACCACTCAGAGTATGACTCTTAATGAAAATAATCCAATATAAAACTCATCATTATGTACATTCCAAAATCAGGCACAAGAAACCTGTATCTCTGCCTCTTTCTTGGTCCATTATACTGGAATTTGTTTCAGAAGATGGTCAAAATTAATTTTGTAAGATTTGAGGTTTTCACGGAGGTGACTATGAAGAAAGCAATCTTCTGGGATGTGGTACACATCTATAGGGTGCCAAATCCCAGAAGACTGCTTTCTTCAAAGTTAATTTTATCCAAATACTTTATCTGATTTGGTTTATGTGTTATTTTATTATAGATTCAAAATATCTATAAATTTTGTCCAATTTCTTGATCTGATACTCTGTCTTTTCTTGTACATCTCTTCACAGCATGAAGGACTTTCATTTCTGCTAATGTTATTTTATTTTCACCATTTTTCTCAAAATACATTATGCTGAACCATAAAATAGAACAGGGACTCCTATGCTTTATACAGTTTTAACTGAGTTTCCTTGGCTACCTTCTTATGATACTCATTTTGTTGTTCAACATATCCTTCGGTACTGTTCTATTACATTCTACATGGCTTTATCATTGTAAAAGTAGGAGTCACACCCCAAATAATTATAACGATTCACTTGTTCTATCTGATAATCTAAAAGAAATTTTAATTACTTTTCTTCTTTCCTTAACATAATATTATCTTGGTTCCTAGAGAAAAATATAAATATTACATCTTACATAATTTACTTAATTTAAGCATCCAGGTCTGGTCAAGTGGGATTTGTGGTGGACAAAGTGGCGCTGGGGCAGAGTTTCTCCGAGTACTTCGGTTTTTCCCTGCCAATCTTCATTCCACGACTTGCTCCACAATCACTCTCGCCTATCATCTGGGGCTGGTACAATAGGCCAGAAGTGGCCACAGTACAAGGGATTTAGTCCCACCCCAATTGGAATAAAAAATAATTTAAGCATGATTCTTTGCAATCCATGTTGATTTTGCCTACAGAACTGGACTGTCTGCATGTAAAATCATTTAATGTACATCTCCTGTCCCAAATATATTCCTTCATGGAGTTAACTAAAAGAGGTAAAAATCCCTTATGGAGTGGTCAGAATTGCATCTTTGTCTATTTGTCCTGTGACTCAGTGAAAGGCTTTTCATGAAGTGTATGTTCACAGATTGACCGCGTCTGTAGTCTAGTGGTCAGAGTTCCTGGCTACAGATCCAGAGGTGTGGGTTTGATCCCCAGCTCTACCAGATTTTCTGAGAAGTAGTGGGTCTCGAACGGGGTTCACTCAGCCTCGTGAGGATAACTGAGGAGCTATTTCAAGGAAATAGTGGCTTCAGTCTAGGAAACTGAAATTAACAACCGTGGGGATTCATTGCACCGACCACGCGACACACTCTGTGTGCTAACCTTTAAACGCCGGACTTGTAACATGGTGTTAGCTTGAGCTGGCCAGAGTTTATTTAAATGCCTGCTGCTGGTGCATGTTTAAAGGTTAAATATCAGTTCCTGTTAGGGCACTTACGTTGTACTTAAAAATGTTATCTAATAGTGGGGGGTGGAGTCCAACTGGGTCCACTCGGCACATCAGACACTGATAACCTATTGTACCTGCCCTGGGTGATTATGATGGAGAATTTTGTGGAATGAAGATTGGCAGGGGAAACCGAAGTACTCAGAGAAAACCTGCCCCATTGCCACTTTTTCCGTCACAAATCCCACTTGACCAGACTTGGGCTCGAATTCAGGCCGCCGTGGTGGGAAGCCAGTGACTAACCACTTGAGCTATGGTGCAGCCTTGACACGCTATACATACATACAGGTGTTTTTATTGGAAACCTACACGCTTTGAAAAGCATGAAGGCCAACTGATTCAATAGACCAAGCAATAAACATAGCAGATAATAGTCAGACCACAGATAAGACAACTGTGACATGTTGCATTCACCCTGAGAACATCAGAAATTTGTCATTCACTCCCTTATGAAGTACAAGAATACAAGGCTTCCAAATAAAGAGTTAAAGCTGTCCTTGAGTCCAAGAACATCATATGAATGTAAATGGGGAAGTAGAGAAGAGCCTTCATATATATCAGATTTTTGTATTAGATGAGTTAAAGTGGTCAAATCCATGCTCTGGCCACTTTCCATCAAAGGAACTGATACCATGTATCCATACCAAACCAGAGGTGGTCTGGTTGTGGAGGTGAAGGGAAAGGCCTTATTCCCCACTAAGATTAAACCCATAACCTGATTACTGAATGAGTTTTACCAGAAAATTAAGTGAACAGAATATTTATAAACAGTGACATCTGCAAGAAGAGCTACAAGCTGTCAGAAGTACTATTGTTTTCAAAGTCTGACCACCAGGTTGATGAGAAAAATGAAGAAAAATACTATGCTACTGACACAATGATATATTTTGACAGCTGTCATTTTACCACTCCCATATTGGTAACATCAGGTACCTATACAGCAATGAAAATTCACCACAGATCAAAAAACAAATACAATGGATTTGAGATGATGAGCATGGTCTTCTGAGTTGTAACACCATGTACTTCAGAAATGTCCTGATGTTTCAAAGCTAAACTCAGCTTGCCACTTGTTGCTGCTAGTTTTTGCTTGGCTTTCTCTACAGTCTAGAAGATGGAGGCAGTATGTTCCTCAGAAATGTCAGGCTGTTTCTGAAATGCATAGTATTACAATCCAGGAAACTGTATTCTTCAAAACATAAGCAGTTTATTGATCTAACAACACATGCTACATATATACACATAAATTCTGATGTCAACTAGAGTATTTATTTTGAAGTGTATAAATTCATTTGTTATTCATACTCTGAGTAAAAGAAATCAAGTAGCATGCCAAGGGAATGACCCAGTATATTGCAGTACCTCACTTATGAGGAAACATCACCTGAAATGACCATAACATAAATTGTAATCTTATACAAATAGTAGTGACCATCTAAACTGAATTCTGGGTGACTTATGTATCTCTCAGAGCACATTTCCGATTTTTATTTAATCCTGAATTACACTTCCCAGATTCCTTAGTAAAGACAATAGGATGCATATGATTGTAACCAGAAAAAATAAATAAGCACTACGCCAAGAAGATGTACAAGGGATATGGAAATAAATTCCCTGTATTCTACATATTGTCGTCACTAGGAGGCGGTGAGGTTAGCTTCCCATCCAACCCTTGAGACACTGACACCCACTTGATGAAAGACTGTAAGGTCTCAGTACCCATTCCAGATGTGACTGAAGATAAAGGTACTCTTGTCCCTGAGAATCATGAAATGAAAATGTATACGAGACTCGCAGTTCCATGCATTCTAGATGTTCTTTTCTTTAAAAAATTAAGTATGTGTTTTAAACAGAAACATTACTGAAATTTAAAAATATTTGGGTCTTCTGAGATTCAGTAATTAACATATGTTACTGTATAATGTTTTCCAGGATAAATTAGATGATTACTTTCAAACTGACCACATGCTTACGTTGATAAAATTTTAATAATAATAATAATAATAATAATAATAATAATAATAATAATAATAATAATAATAATAATTAGAATAATAATAATAATTAGGATTGAACCCAACAGATTCCACTGAATTATGTGATATTATGTGCACACGCGCACGCAAGCACGCTCGCTCACTCTCTCTCTCTCTCTCATTGGGCTTTAGTCCGCAGGCGAACTATACTGACTGAGCGACTGCTGCTTGTCAGCGAAGTTAGTGCCAACTTTAGCAGATAGAGGGTGTCATGTCACGTGGTCAGCGCAATGAACTCCCACGGCCGTTAATCTCGAGTTTCTAGACCGGAGCCGCTATTTCCTTGAAACAGCTCCTCAATTATCTTCATGATGCTGAGTGGACCCCGTTCCAGACCCACTACTTCTCAGAAAAATTGGTAGCGCCGGGAATCGAACCCAGGACCTCTGACCACTAGACCACAGAGGTTCATCAAATTCAAGTATTAACTTTTTAAGCACCGGAGTTCTTATCAGTTTCACTCTGCATTTTAAAACATGTTCTGTTAACACTTTTGCTGACAAATTTAGGGATATACAAAATCGTTTTATAAACTCATTAATTAATTACCTGAAGTTATCACCACTAATTATCTCACTTGTGATAAAATTCTCATTAAAATAACAATCCACGTAAGTTTTAAACATTTCTACTTGTATTGGTTTGTTGGTTTCTTGTGTCTCTAAGTATTGTCCAACTTTTATAGCTTTTGCCCACCTAGGCGAGTTGAATCCATTTCTGAAGTAGGGATATCTACAGGAAAAATTCAGTTACCCTCAATGATGATAATGATGTTAATTATCTAGGAAAGGGGACCTATAGCTTAGCAAGAACCCCATGCCTTGGAGAGGGCTTGCTGTTCTTCATATTTCCAGTGTTTTAATCTTCCTCTGCTTAGATTAGGCTATGATAAGTATTACCGGCAAATTCTGAAACTGGAATATGACTAACACTGTAGCACAATTTTTAAATGTAACCAGTATTTTAAAACATCTCCAATTAAATTTAAATTTAAAAATACCATGACAGATTTTTTAAAATTAAGCAGCTTTGCTTTAACAACACTAACTCACATTGTTACATAAATGGCTTATCATGAAAGAGACAACTGATATCTTCACAAAATATTTTAAACACCATAATGGACCTTAGTTTAAAAATTTATTACACACTTCTGATGATATCTAAACTAATGGAGAGGAAACATGTAGGTAAATTAAACAAGAAGTCTACATCATAAGTTGACGTGAATTATAATTCATATCAACTGCTACCATACAAAGCTGTTCAAAATGGCCACACGATCTAAGGCATTGAAATATTTTTACCTGCTCGAAAGCTCGGATCGTGGGTTTGAATCCCACTCAAGGCTTGGATGTTTGTCTGCATTCATTTTATGTTTGTGCTCTGTGTAGGTACTGGCCTTGCTTTAGGCTGAGTGCCCATCCAAGAAGCCCTACCAACTGTCTAAGATTAAGAACTGAAGTCAAATGTAGCATTTCATGGATGCCCTGAGCTCCAAGTGGGAGTCATGGGAATAGATGTGTGGGTGGGTGTGTAGGTCAGTAGGTGGGTGGTGGATAGGTAGGTATGTAGTTAGGTGGGTGGGCAGACAGGCAGGCAGACTACCATACAAGCGCATTAATGGGGAGGGCCACTATATTGTTTAAATTTACTGACATTCTGCCTCCTATTGTTTTCAATGAAGCAGTGCATGCAATGTGCTTGGCTGTACCTGAATCTGCAGCATGATCATGCTGCGATGAGTTTGACTCACAACAGAATTTACCACACTGGCGTCTTCTTCTTCTTCTTCCTCTTCATTGTCTAGCATCATTGACAGTTCATCATGACCTCTGGAGTCCACATTCTTCAGGCAGCGTCCACACAGGTGTCCTTGCCTAAAACAATTAATTCAAATTATCAAGATTAAGTATAAAAACTGTTGTATAATATATTTTACAAGATACAAAACTGTACAAAACACAGCATGATTCATTGAGTATTACGTTGTTCAATGGATATGAGTTCACAAGAATTTGAAAATTGTATGTTACATTTAATGACAGATCAGACAAGACAAAGTTCCACGTCATTGTTGTTGTTGTTGGTAGCGGGGTGAGACTGACAAGGGAATGGTCTGATCCGACATGTTGAAAACTCCCTGATTTTTTTTTCACTGCAAGAGTACACACAACAAAATCCACCGTCAAAATTTTAGCTGCTAGTATGCACTACAAGTAGTCTTTCAAAATTACTTAACATGGTCAATATTGTAGCCTGCCAGACCCTTGGAGAAATATCCACCCCTAGCAGAGGCAGAACAGAGCAAAGCAGTACGCAACATGCAACACGGCTGACTCACAGCCTAGGCTGGTGTTGTACATACCTCTGGTACAAGCGGTTCCGTGTACAGAAAAAATGAGTAACTTTGGCAATTTTTAAAAAATACTTGCAGTGCGTATTAGCAGCTAAAATTTTGACAGTGGATTTTGTTATGTGTACTCTTGCAGTGAAAAAAGAAATCAGGGCAGGTTTTGACATGTCAGATGAGACCATTCCCTTGTGCTTTCACTTGGTGCTGTGGCTACTACTGGCCTATTGTACCAGCCCCAGATATTAGATGATGATGATTGGTGGAATTAAGATTGGCAGGGGAAAAAGTACTCGCAGGAAACCTGCCCTGGTGCCGCTTTGTCTATGACAAATCTCACATGACCAGACATGGAGTCAAACCCAGGCCGCCATGGTGAGATGCCAGTGGTTAACTGCCTGAGCAATGGCATGGCCATGTTGCACATAACTCTGCAGAAAGAAATGCTAATCATTTAGGGTTGAATTTTTTTGTACATCAGGGACACAGAATGGCTGCTAAGGAGGTAGGATATGTTAATAATAGGATGTGGTATAATTGTTCTCAATGTGTATGCTCCATCTGAAGATAAAAGTGGTAATATAAATGATAACTTTTATGAGAAACTGTAGCAGTACATGATAAAATTCCTAAGTGCAACATAGAATTTATTATAGAAACCATCGAAGCGTCATGTGCAGCCATCACACTGGACACACTGACAGCTGTAGTTCGCTCAGCAGACGCTGTTTAGCCGCTGATGGTGGTCACTTCAAACACATACAATGACTCTTCTCTCTCCGCACAAGAATTGTAACCACATGTCATTTTGTTCCAAAGATATTGAGTGAGTACATTTTCTTGGACCCCTCTGTATGATCAGCAGATATGTAGAAGGTTGTAAAGGCTTTTGCTAATTCCTTGTATATGTATTCAGATGAATTCTTAAAATTTATGGGTTCTCTTTTGTTTATATCACAGTTATTGAGGGGCGACATGAATTGGTGAAAGTTTGAACCGTCTTTTCTATAACCCAGATTTTTCAATAAGTTTTGAATTTTTTTTTTTAGATTAAACAATTCCTCTTTTCAAAAATGTTAATTCTTCTCACCATGCTTGTATGTCTTTCAGGTACTCTGACATTTTTGCTGTTTTCCTGCCTATTTCTCTATCAATTTTAATCTTGTCAGTAGATCTCACCAAGAAGGCTTATATTTTGAGTTTTACTCTCAAGTATGTACAGTTTTGCGTCAGAAAGAATGGAACTGCAATAGTTCTCACAGTTCTCGTAGGAAGCTTCATCTTGAAAATTAACGTGAGCATCTGAAACTGTTTGCGTTTTTCTCTACATTTACAAGCATAATGGTGTTAGTTACTGAATGTTATTTGAAAATTTTGTTGTTTCTGTCATCATCCTGTGTCCACATTCAGGGCCATCAGCAATTCTTTTTGAAGCAAGTGCAGTGATATCATTTGATGTCAAAAAGAGATCTGGATTTGTTGTAGAGACATTGCAGTGGAGATATGTACAAGTACAAGCTAAAAAAAAAGGTAAAAGTTATCCCTGTAACAGGCCGTGAAGGCCCTTAGGGTTGTGAGGCGTCAAGGCTCCCCAATTTTCTCTAGACAATCGGCTCATAGATGGCGGTAAAGTTGTCAGCCTTTCACGTCGGCTGCCCTTTCCCCCCCCCCCTAGAAGATTCCTGGTACTCATTTCTGTTAAGAGGCTGAGTCAACACCAGGTCCATAGTGCAGCGGGAAGGATTAGGTAAATTGAAAAATCCATCTCATCAGGATTTGAACTCACCACCTTCTGGCTTGTAACATAGTGCCTCAACCAACTACACTACCATGTGCCTCAGATATTTATAGGTATCTTCAGTTTCATAAAATAATTCACTGTTATTTTCTGAAATAAATTCTTCCATTGTTTTCCCTGCTTCATTAATATTCTTGTATCTTATGCCATGGAAATGAGGCCTGAAGTCTCCAAAAACAATGGTTCATCTTCAAACGATTAATAAACTGAGAGGACTGGTTTGAAGGGGTTGGATATTCCAATTATTTTAACGTGGTTGCCATTTTCCAGACAGTCAATATGATAATTTCTGTCTTGTCAAAATCATTCATACTCTCAGTAATACTGAATACATGTTTTATTGTTTTGCAGGTTCTTATGAGAATGTCACTAGTAATTTGCCTAGATTTAGGAACGAAATTCAAATGATAATTTTTTAGATTGAAATATTTTACAATCTCTTCTCTAACAATAGCAAAAAACGTCAGTTTCTTCGTCTTCCAAAGTCTTACAATGTTCTGTCTTCTTAGCTTGTTTCAAATCACCAGCATTCCATTGAAGAACTCTGAATTTATTGCAATCATATTACTACCTTTGTTCTCCCATAGCAGATATCCAAATGGGGGACTACTTTACCTCTCGATTATTTTCCTTAGGCAGGTCCACGGCAAATACATCATTAGGATGTTTTTGAGCTTTCATGTAGGTTGTTTCATGTGGGCACCTTTCTCAGTTTACATAAGGTGGTGACTTACATCACTATTAGTTTTTATAGCATTTCCTCCATAAAAGGTGAACGAATATACCACTATAATTCGGTCCCCAGAGCCTTGTCTGCATGAAAAGGATGCATCACTTCTAGATAACTCTAGGAATTGGATAGGAGAGGTTATAGATTACACCTCTTTCACTTTCAGCCTAAAAGGTTTTGGTGTGTACAGTATTTACACCTGTAACAATTCAATCCAGGCAAGTACTGAAAAATATCTTATGTATCACCACTACACCATCCTAATCAATAGGCTGCTATAAAATTCTCAACAGCATTGCTATGGCTACCATACCTAACTTCTTCCAAAGTAGAAATTTCTTCTTGCAGTGATTTCATATCCTCTTCCTTCTGTTGCAACAGAGTCATCTGCTCCTCCAGAGCCAAATTGTCCTGGTGAAACAGATGTATAAAATCAAATCATAATAAGACACAGGCATTATCATCACCATCACATTTAGTGCAAACCAAATCAAGCAAACAATTTATTCACAAGGGAGCTAAACATTATTCTATTTAACTCATTTAAGCACTATGGTATATCTGTGAGTGTGCGCGCGTGCGTGAGAGAAAGTGAGAGAGTCGCCTGTTTCAACATTCAAGAACTTCACTGTCCCCCACAAAGCATATTTATGACTTTCATACAATTCTCTGAATAAGTATTAATTATTTACCTATACAACTGAAATTTTTATGACATGGGATGAGAAATTTTAAATATTTAGAAGAACTTCATGTCTCAGACGTCGAATACAGGTTTCTCTTTAACACAGTCCTTATTTCTTTGTATAAATTACCACACTGTGCAGATGTTTGCTCATTAGGCTCTCTAGCTTGAGGTCACAATGAAATGATCTAATCTGGTCCCCAGATAAATACAGTTAGTTAGACATGCTATAGAAACTAATATATAAGCAAACTATTCATGAGGTTGAAGTCAAATTTTGCAAGAAGAAATTCAGCAGGGGACATACTCAGTCCATGCAAAAGGAATAATATTATGAGGAGCAGGAAAATCAGGAAAATGTATACGGGTCAGAAGCCAAAACATATTATAGTAGAACATTTCTTGCCTCAAAAGTAATCTCCAAAACTGTTAATACGACGGTTGGAACTTTAATAGTGGCAACACTGCTGTAGAGACGCCATGCAATGGAACCAAATAATGTCGCTTATACCACACGTTAGTTACATACCTACCTTACCTCAGAGCAAATGGACTCTCCCTTCCCACATCACGCACATGCGCAGTGACGAGAAGAGCAGAGCCTCATGTTAGCTGGCGGTCTAATTTAGTGTCGTCACAATGTTTTCGAAACAGGAAAGATAAAGATAAAGATTGAATGTGCCAGAGGCCGCACAGCACGACAGTGTCATCAAGGTCTTCAAGAGGCTTGCGGGGAATCTGCATTGCCTGACAGAACAGTGGCAAGGTGGGTAAAAGCCTTCAATGAGGGACGCCAAAATGTGGCAGACATGCGTCGGCCAGGTCGTCCTAGTGTCAGTGAAGAAGTGTATGCTATTTCCGCGTTACTGGAGAGTGATCGAATCCATACGATTCGTGAGCTGGCCCAAGAGACAGGATTAGCGCATACGACTGCTTCACATTCTGAAGGAACGCCTGGGCATGAGAAAAATTGCATCACGATGGGTTCCGCATGATATGACGGAAATGCAGAAATGGCTACGATACGACGCTGCTCGTAATCACTTGGAGCGCGAAGGAGAGGCTTTCTTACGCCGTATCATTACGCTGGATGAGACATGGACAAAATCATACGAGCCACAAATGAAACGCCAATAGAACGAATGGCGTCATTACGGGTCACCACGGAAATCAAAAGTTTGTCAGAACCCCAGCAATCTGAAAGTTATGGTGATTCTCGTGTACGACTGTGATGGTGTTATCCTAACGCATACTGTTCCCCGACAGCAGACCGTCAGTGCGCAGTATTACTGTTCATTTTTGGAACACAACCTGCGACCAGCTTTNGAGTCACACGAGCACGAGTAATGTGGACGCGCCTTAACGCATACCGTTCCCCGACAGCAGACCGTCAATGTGCAGTATTACTGTTCGTTTTTGGAACACAACCTGAGACCAGTTTTGAGAAAGAAGCGGCGACACTCTCTGCAGAACCAACCCATAATTTTGCAGGGCACTGCGATGTTCAAGCACTTTCCAACCAAATCTCTGTAGCGTATTCCTCACAGTTGGCAGTGTGGGGGCGTGCGCATTACCATGAAGAAGGATACTGCCGTTCTATAGCATTCCAGGGCGTTTTGACTTTATGGCACATCTCAGTTTCTGCAAAGTGTCTTCATAGCGCTGTGCACTGATTGTGGCCCCATGCTCGAGAAATTCGACAAGCAGTGGGCCCCTGCAGTTGAAGAAGACGTCATCACCACTTTACCGGAAATTGTGTGTGCGGCTTTGGATTTCTTCGGTGGGGGAGAATTCACGTGTTTCCACTGTTGGCTCTGCCGTTTGCTCTCGGGTTCAAAATGGTGGCACCAAATTTCGTCCCCAGTGGCAACACGGGACAGAAAAGCATACTCTTCTTTATGGTATCGTTGCAAGTGACCCAGTGATCCAGCCATTCTCTGAGTCTTCTGTTCCTCCATGTGTTGATGTGGAAGCCACTGCGCACAGATTTTACGGTACAGCAGGTGTTTTGTCACAATGGCATGTACGGAACTGTGACTTATTCCCATCAAAAGACGTGATCCGTCGGTTTGCCCGGATATGACCATCCAACGCAGCAATAACATCAGGAGTGATGACATGATGAGCCTGTCCTGGGCGAACAGCATCTTGCAGTGACACACGTCCCTCTCGGAATCCCTTATGCCACACCAGCACACGCGAACGTGACATGCTGTGTTCGCCGTAAACAACAGACATGCGACGATGAATTTTTCGTCTTCCTACTCATTCAGCAGTCAACATGCGCACTACGCTTCGGTGTCCTTCTTTACACGCCTCCATTACTGACATTGGACGACCACACGTAGCGCTAGCCTTACTTCCAGCACAATAAACAAACGACTAGTGTGCAAGGGCACATTGTCACTGTGCTTTCCCGAGTCCCCACCAGATGTTCGTACCGTAAGCAAATTCCAGTGTTACCATCTTGCACGCCTTGAGAGTTTTGCGTGGTGACCCGTTTTGATTTGACTGCCCCTTATGCAATTAATATGAGTTATTTTAACACCACATCATCAAGATAGTGTAAGGACTTAAGCTATGATCAACGCCATTAAGAATAATGTAATGAAAATTTATAAATCAAAGTATCACACAATATATTGCTTGCTAAAAGTGCACTAGAAAATCAGAGGCTTCAACAGGTATCAAAATTTTCTTTTACCTGTAAGAGACCAGCCAACTGCTCTTCCAAGTCTGATATTTTTCTCTGTTCCTTAACTCGCTGAGACCTCAATTCCTGAAGCTCTTCTAGTAACCTAATCACTTCCTCATCTTCTGCATTCTCCTTCATGTCTACACCTTCATCACCATGCTGTAAGCACAATGCTCTCACTATAGAAACATAATGGTATTACAAACATGGCCATTCTTATGTGACGCAAAACATTAACAACATACACATCAAACACTTAAAATTAAAAGTATATCCTTTTAATAAATTTTATTCACGGAGAAATAGGCATTATGTCATTAAGACCATCTCACCTGTACAATTCTAAATTTCTCTGTTCAGAATGAATTGATATATATTACATTAATTTCTAGCAATGCTTTTCTGTATTATACAATCGCTACTATTCTCAGGATCCCCCCTTCCAACTGAAATCCACCCCAACCTCCCCTTAAAATATAACATTCAAGCAAACCTCTTAACTCAGTCCTCCAGTTATTTTGTCTCTGAAGGACTCCTCCTGAAGATGATCACCTAATAAAGAACTCGATAATTTGTACTTGTCATATAATACTGTTAGGATGATAAAAGGAAATGGACAGAATATGTACAATTAAATAAAAGCAGTGGACAGAATATCTAACATACTTGGGGAAAAATGAGAAATGCTCTCAAAACCTTGGTCAGAAACCCTTAGGAGAGGCGGTCACTTGAAATGGGAACATATTTTGGATAATCTAATATGAAATTAATTTTAAGACTGACCACAGTAATGATCCATCAACACAGATTTTACTGGAATGAAAATATAGGAACATTTAATGGGGCCCAAGGATTCTGAGAATCATTTTGACTTGTCGCTAGAGAAACCAGCTAAAAGATTCAGTTTTCATTTTATATATATATATATATATTTATTTATTTATTGAACTTTTTTTTTGCAAATTAAAAGTATATACTGTTATTCATTGTTATACATAAAATGAATGCATAATGATTGAAACAATTTCCAGCTATTTTACTCCACTTGCTATTTACACTGAAGGAGGCTGCGCCATAGCTCAAGCGGTTGGTCTCTGGCTTTCCACCGCGGCGGCCCGGGTTCGATCCACGGTCTGGTCAAGTGTGATTTGTGGTGGACAAAGTGGCACTGGGGCAGGTTTTCTCCAAGTGCTTCGGTTTCCCCTGCCAATCTTCATTCCACCAATTGCTCCACAATCACCCTGACCTATCATCTGGGGCTGGTACAATAGGCCAGAAGTGGCCGCAGTACAAGGGACTTAGTCCCACCCCACTAGCAATACAGTGAAGGATATCTGGGTAAATTACTTTTGAATCATACTGATCAGCATGCAGTTATATTGCATGAAGCTCAAAACATGCTCTAAATGATTTAAAAATTATATGGCTCATCATAAGAAACCTGATGTCAGAACTTTCAGATGTAACTTAGATTACAGTAAAGGAATGGACCATAACGGCTTTCAAACCATGTAAAAAAGTAAAGCTATCCCTGTAACAGGCTGTGGAGGCCCATAGGGTTGTGAGATGTTGAGGGTGCCACATTGTTCAGGCAATCAGCCAGATCCCAGGACCATAGTGCGGCCGGAAGGATTAGGTCAATTGAAAAAAATCCAGTGACCTCATTGGGACTTCGGCTTGTAGCATAGTGCCTCAACCAACTACGCTACGAACATTCTTTAATCTATGCAACACAGAAATATGCTGCATACCAAATATGTGTTCGGAAGATAAGTACAATACATTAGTTCAGAGGAAGATGTTCTGCTTATTTTGTAACTTACAAGTGATAAATACAGTTTATACTAGTTGTCCACAACCCACCTGATCTGTCCAATTTTCAAATTTTATACTAGGGTCACTGGAATCCCTATTGTCTGAAGGAGGATGAGGTTGGGAACCCTTTGACCTCTGTTGATGCCTCAGCTGACTATCTTGCTTCAGAGTCATCTCATCCAGGGTCCTCTGAAGCTCTTCACATCGTGATTCCAGTGAGTCTATACTCAAGCAGAGGCTGTAAGAACATCATCAGTTCTGGTAACATCTGCTTACAAGCCTCAGGTTGCAGCTGAAGTAATGCTAATGATCTGCGTCCTGTGATTGTCATTTCAAAATATTGTAAATATATTCCATATATCAATATGGCTTTTTGAATTCACTTTTACAAGATCATACAATGATCATATAATAATACAATTTGTGACTCATTTACAATCCTCTCAACTCACTCTCAACTGACACTCTCTTGATTTTAAGACAGATTTGCAAGATGATAGGAGGCTCAATTGTGGGGCTGGGAACGGTGGGGTTTGTATTTCATGTGCTGAATTTATCTTGTAAAGCACCCAAAATTCGTAAAGGGTGTGGTAGTACATCATTGCTGATGCAGTAATAATAAGAAGGAGCACCGCTTATTTATAGTTTATCTGACCCATGTTAGGTGGGTCTACTGTCACCACTTCATGGCGTGCCCTCAGGTTGCAGATGGAGAAGACAGCCTCCAGATATGGAGGGTAGCTGTGAATATATTGAATAAGCAGTTGTGGACAGCCGACAAGGGGTGGTTCTCCAGAATGGAGCTTGGGTGTGGGCCTAACACGGTAAAAAATAAGCTTATTACAGAATGTCACAAAGGTCCTCAGACCTGGAAAGATTATTTGGATTAATGAACTAAGCTAAAGGAAGTGGACACAAGATTTGGTATGTGGAATTAACAAGTTTGTATAGGGCAGGTCCTCCCATGAAAGACCGAAAGACTTCACAAAATGTAAGTTAGATTTAGTGGGAGTACAGGAGATCAGATGGGACAGAGGTGGAACCTAACCAGCTGGCGAATATACATTTTTCTGTGGAAAGTGAAATGCGAATCATGAATTAGACACAGAATTCCTTTTTGTACATAAGAGAATCATATCAGCAGTTAAACGGGTAGAGTTTATTACTGATAGGATGTCATACATAATACTAAGGGGTCACTGGTGTGTTATCACTGTTCTGAACGTTCATACCCCAACAGAGGATAAAATTGATGATATGAAGGACAGCTTCTACAAGGAACTAGAATGAGTATACAAGTCAAGTAAAAGGTTAAAATAATATCTGACATTTTCGCGGCAATGCAATTAGAGGACTACATTGTGTCAGGACAGGTCCTGTGCCAAGCGCAGCTGTAATTTAAACAGTTCTTTGGATTAATTTCCCATGTGACTCCTCTCCCTTTCCCTTCCTCTTCTTATAGTTGGGTGTCTTGACTGGCACTCAGCCTGCAGCCACCTGCTCACGCTGCTTCATCGCTCGCGGATTCTTTATATCCTGAAGATGGTGGCGATATGTTCCTCCGAAACGCCGGTTAACACAATATCTACAAGGCGCCACATCCCAGAAGACGGCATTCTTCATAGTCACCGCAGTGAAAACCTCAAATCTTACATCTTCATAAATCATTAATGATCATCGTTACATCATCAGTAACAGATTTCAAAGATCATGATGACGATTGTGATGGTGTTGATGACAATGACAGTGGATTCCATTTCTGTTCTTTCTCTATTCCAGGGCATCAGTACCACTACATTAAGCCATGAAATAAAGCTCTGGCGAGAAAAATCTATCTACAACATATCTCAATGTTTCATAGATTATCATTGGACACTCCCTTCACTCAAAATCCCCCTACCATAATAATTTTATTCTTTCAAACAATTCTTTCTTAGTTGCCACTTCCTTATCTACCAGAGACCCAGTAATCCTGGCTCATCTCTAGGGAGTTAAGTTTTTCAGTAATTCAGAAATAATTTCCTGTGTGAGAGAAAATGGAGTCAAACTAATTGGAGAGCAGACTTGTAAATTGAAACTAGCAATGCAACAGGCTAAGTAACACTGTGGGAGTTTCCCACAATGACGCAAGCGCTAACCAGGGCAACTCCAACGCCCATTGTTCACTTCCCTGATCGTCTGTAATCATCACTCTTACAGCAATAAACATTTGTTATAGTTTTACGTGGTTGCCTCTTCAGCATCGGCATCTCACAGTGCCTTACCAAACTGTTACTATTCAGGAGTTACACATGCCAACACATGAAAGAAGAATGTTTTGATTCAAGAATAGGATTGTGCATGCACAGAGCTGCATTTACCACAAGAGAACCAGATAACTATTGTAATTATGTTGACTGAAACAGATTACAAATATAACATTTTTCCAAAATAAATAAATAGATCAAACCACCATCAGTTTGCTTTCCTATGAAGCTTCTCTTAAATCAGTCTGCTATCCAAATGTTTACAAACCTTTGCATTGGGATTCGGGGTGTCAAATTTAATATTTATTTTAATAATAATTGCATAAGCACCACACCATTAAGGCATGCAAGTGTAGTGGAGGTAATATTCTAGACATTCTTAACATTGGCATCTTTCAGAATTTGGTTACCATCTTCACACACCAGCGATATTTCCCTTTGGCGAGAACCTCTTGTACCCATTGTATAGGAGGCTGAGTGGGCTTCCATGGCTGTTGTACACCATGAGGTGAAGGAAAAATCTTCACCTCTGTGGGCATTAAATATGGGACACTCAGCTCATAGCTAATCACTTTTTTAAACCACAGTATGCCAGTTTACTAATGCACGTAAAATAACAACAGTCTTACCTCTTGATATGCTTCTTATCTGCTGAATTGTCCAGTGCCAGTCGCTGATTAGCTCTCTCCAGCTCCTGAATGCTAACTTCCAACTGCTCATAAATTCGGAGCCTTGAGTCATTCACTTCCCGTAGCGCTGTCGTCTGCTTCGTGAGATACTGAACATCAAAGTGAGATTTATTGTTATTACCTTGATTTATTTAGGACTTACTAATAGAGCTGTTACACTTTGCATCATGATGGAAAAGAAAGAAAAAACATGTAGTCTCAGTATGCACCCGTTCAACATGAACTAGAAGTTTAGAAGAGGAAAATATTTACAGTAAGCCAGCCACCAGTAATTAGCAAATATATATATTTAGAATATTATATTTCAGCATCCTGTTACACTCACACAATATATATGGATAAATACCGTCTTAAGTGCAACAAATTTTATTGTAGTTTTTACTTCTTTTCCTCCTCCACACTACATGTTTCGGCCCTAAACGGCCATCATCAGGTGTGTATCACTCACGTAGCTGTTACACTGCTTGTTAAAATTTAAAATTACCAGTCTTTCTAATTGTATAAAATCTTTGTTTATCTACACGCGTCGATTTGATTTTTAAATTAGCACTTTTTAAAACTTAATTCAAGTTAAAATGTCTATAAGATCTCTATTCTTTCTTTTTCA